CTAACAATGAAATAAACTAAGTATTGAATGTAATAACTCCCAAGTTACTGAAATAGGATTTAGTGGAAAGGAAATATACTTGCCTCCTGAATGTGTCGCCTACTGTAAACAGTCTCAACTACTAAAACACTCGTTTAACACCGCATGAAAATCGTGAAATTCAACTGAAAACTATTGTACCTAATTTTAATATTTTAAATGATTCCTGTTGTAATATTGTAGCATATAATAATATTGTGTCAAACTTACCGGTAGTTAATCTTAACAATGTTAACTTAGATTCCTTAGCTTAGGATGATCCTGAAATCCTAAAAAGCCTTAACAGTAATAGTAAAAAACCCCATAATGTTTTATATCAATAAATATTATTCAGGTATCACAATTGTAATTATAGTTTTAATTATGTGCTTTATTATTTATAAGATGTATAAAACTGGCATACACAAGAAAATAATGAAATCTAGAGAAAATAAAACTTCTGAAAATAAGGACATTGAATTAGATGACAGTAACTCCTCAAACATTAACAGGGACCTTCTCTTCAGATCGGCTGATTTATATTTCATTTACTTTAACATAAACTCCACTTATAAGGGTGTAGTTTACTCTAAATCGGAGGGCCGTTACGGTTTTCCAATGTTAGGGAAAACCTTTAAACATGGATAATAACTGATTACATAGATTTCCTCTGAATAGTCTTATCATCCTTTAAAGGCAGCTCTGCTTCCCGCTCCCGGGAACGAGTCAGTCTCCGTCCGACCGCTGAATCCCTAACACCTCTGTATCATCTCGTGTCTGCCAGTTTCGACTCCGGGCCAATTAAAATTTGTAACCAATTCTATTTCTATATAATACTATTTCCGTTGTGTAATAAAAGTGTTTTTTTAACCTAGTTTATGAGGTCCCGTATTACAGCTCGAACTCAATAATCGCCCGCACGAAGTACGCGTCGTGCCTTGCATTGCTCAACAGGCACTCAAACAAAGGCCTCGACAAAAATGGATTCTCTTTGAAAATCGCGAGCGTCTAGCAAATTGGTTGGATCCTGGTTCAGCAACTAAACAATGCCCTAAATGAAAACTTACCCCTAGAAAATTGATGGTCTCTGTTTGGTGGTCGAGCGCCAGTATGATTCATCAAAGCCTCTTACCAAAAGGGATGAGCATTACTGTAGATATAAACTGTGAAGAACTGAACAAAATAATGAAGAAGCTTGCACGCTTTCAACCAGCTTTGGTCAATCACTTGTCTCCGCTACTCCTGCACGACAACACGCGACCTCATATAGCACAATAGATAGTCTCCATGTTACAAGAGCTAGGGTTGGAAGAAACAGAAACAGAAACAGAAACTTTTTTATTCAATATAGATTATAAATAATACTTATTGAAAGTCACTCTTTTGTTTGATTACCACTGGTTCGGAAAAAACCTCTGTCCTGGGAAGAACCAGCAAGAAACCCAGCGGGACTTTTTTTTAAATAACAGCTTACAATCATGATGTTACACAAATTAACAACACAACAAATTAGAAATAGCTTGGTAGCGATCACCTCATTTCCAGGGGTTATTATCATCCATAAATTCCTTAATATTATAATAACCCTTTTTATACAAACTTAGTTTAATAAAGTTTTTGAACTTTGAACAGGTCAAACTTTGTATATATTCTGGAATTTTGTTGTAAAAGCGTGTACATCGCCCCAAGAATGAATTACTGACTCGATGGAGTCGAGTAACTGGTACTACTAGCTTGTGTCTGTTCCTAGTATTTATAGAATGAATATCACTTATTTTTGTAAAACTACTTTTATTTTTGTGTACGTACAATACATTTTCATAAATGTATTGAGAGGCCAAAGTTAATATATTAATTTCCTTAAATTTTTGTCGCAGCGACTCTTTAGGCTTTAAATCATAAATTGCTCTTATGGCCCTCTTTTGCAAAACAAATATAATTTCAGTGTCAGCTGCGTGTCCCCATAGCAAAATACCATACGAGATTATGCTATGGAAGTAGCTGAAGTAAATTAGTCTAGCTGTTTCAACACTGGTTAGACTTCTAATCTTTTTTACAGCATATGCTGCAGAACTAAGTCTGCTTGCTAGTTTTGATATATGGGGGCTCCATTGAAGCTTTGCGTCTAGTGTGATTCCAAGAAAAATGGTGGTATCTACAAGACTCAGTTTCTCCCCATTTAAAATTACATTAGTATTTAATTGTTTGACATTTGGAGTCACGAATTTCATACATTTTGTTTTAGTGCCATTTTAATGCAAATTATTAACATCGAACCAATTTACTAATTTAGATATAGCATTATTTACTTCGTCATATTTTAGTAACTGTTGACTTAATTGGAAAATTAAAGAAGTGTCATCTGCAAATAATACTATATCATAGTTATCCCCTACTATGTAAGGTAAGTCATTAATGTATACAAGAAACAGAAAGGGGCCGAGAATTGAGCCTTGAGACACGCCCATTTGTACCATCGATCCGGAAGAGCTCATATTGTTAATGACAACTTTTTGCGTTCTCTTACTTAAATATGAAATAATTAATTTAAGGGCATCACTTCTTACACCGTAGTGTTGAAGTTTCCTGATTAATGTTTCATGGTGAACACAATCGGAGGCCTTGGATAGGTCACAAAATATACCCAAGGCATCCTGTGAATTCTCCCATGCATTAAAGATATATTTAATCAGCTCAACACCGGCATCAGTTGTCGAGCGACCCCTTGTGAAACCAAATTGGTTTTTATGAAGAAAATTATTTATATTAAAAAAATTTAACATTTGATCAAGAACAATTTTTTCAAAAATCTTACTAAGTGTTGGTAGTACAGATATAGGTCTAAAATTGGCGGGGTCTAATGTACTACCAGATTTAAATAAAGGTATTACTTTACTATGCTTCATTAAATCAGGAAACACACCAGATTCGATACTAGTATTAAAAATAATAGCTAAATGAGGCGCGATTGTATCTATTATAGACGCAATAACTTTAACGGAAATTCCCCACAGATCCGCAGTTTTCTTAACATCAATAGTTTTAAAATATTTTACAATATCTTTTGATGACACTTTATGAAATGTAAAATTCTTTGTACACACATTTACATTTTGTTTAAGTAATGATTCGGTGACGGCAGGAGAAGAATTCAGTGACTTAGTGGTCAAGATCGGAATATCAGTAAAATATTTCTCAAAAACCATTGCGACGTCCTGATCTGATACAGTTAATTTGTTGTTAACACTTAACTGGTAATTTGAATTGCGAGAGTTGATCTTACCAGTTTCGCTATTAATTATACTCCATGTCATTTTAATTTTATTGGAAGCCGTCTTAATTTTGTTGCTCAAATGCAAAGACTTGGCTATGGAGCACACTCTTTTAAATATTTTTGAATATTTTTTTACATATTCCCTAAATTCGACGCTATGATTATATGACCTTTCATGGTAAAGATCATATAACCTATGCCTGCTCTTATGGACTCCTACTGTCGCCCATTCATTGAATGACTTCCGACGAAGCTTTTCATCATCCGCCAAACTCAACAGATCTTGCGCCTGCAGACTTTTACTTTTTCCAGAATTTGGATGACTTTTTGGCGGGAAAATATTCAACAGACGAGAGACAGTACAAATATAAAATTAAAAAGTAAGCACTGGGTGTACAGTCTCGTTTTCAGGTTTTGAGGTATGTCTGACGAGAAGATGTGTCGTAGCTTCCCGAACGCTGCCCAGCCGAGTTGAATCCGTCGATTGACCTCTCGGCCGAAGTTGGACTTACCTAGTCGGACTATTTGTCCCAGGTAAACATACTCGTCAACAACTTCGAGCTTAGTGCTCCCAACAACTACCGGCATAGGTGTGACATGGACATTAAACATGATCTTTGTTTTGTCCATGTTGATCTTAAGACCTATCCGTTGGGAAACACTATTGAGGTCATTGAGCATAGTTCTTAGGTCCTTATTATTATACTAGGTTATTATTATAATCAAGTATTTAGGAAATTTGATTATTTGAATATTGTGTATTTGTACAGCGATCTTTTTGATCCGCTGCAAACAACCGAAACAATGTCCACTCACGACGGCGACAGACGCCGAACCTGTGCGGCGAACTGAGTGAGTGAGTAAAGTACATGTGGCTGTAGCTCCCTATTTACAGAAATAATTTACATACATGGAGCCGAATAAAATTAATTATAGCTAAACTAAACAAAATTACACTGCTATTTACATTCAGTGGCTTCCCACATGATAGATGAAGAGATTAAAAAATAGATTGAGCTAAACAATTGATATTTTCAAAAGTTATCGAGTTTACAAGCCTTGGGGACATGATAAATCCACACCATAAGCCACGAAAACCCCTTTTTTATTTAAAAATAGCAATTAATCGTTTAAAAAAATATTAATGAGTTCAACAATCATTTATCTTACTAACAATGCGCTTTTTATATCATTTATATGTATAATATAATTGTTAGATACGATTTTACTCGATGAAACGTTGGAATCTTAATTTTTAGGCGATAGTAGAACATACCTTGCGCTTTCGCTTAAGGCATGCAATAATCGGCCAGCGTCTGTCTTTCCATCCGATTACAATTAGGGCGTCTAGTCTAATACAGTGCGATTTACCATTTTCACTAGTTTTCTATATTGCATGCCTTAAGCATGCAATATAGAAAACAAATGCGTTCACTTATTTCATAATAAACGGCAATTTCATAGGTAAACACCTAACATTAAAATATAATAAAGTAAGTTTAGATGTTTTCCAGACAAAAACTTTTAATTCTTAAATCCTTTTTACTTACTAAATTTGAACATTGAACGTAATTTTTCTATTACTAAAATGTTTAAGTAGATGCAAATTGTTTCTGCCTAGTAATATTCTATCGTGATTAACTTCTGAAGTATTCTAAGGTTTTCTAACCTATTTTTTTTTATTTATTTATCTAGTATATATAATTACCTTCAAGATCAGGGTTCAACGCTCTTTTTATTGTATTTATTTCTTGTGTCACCTCTTTTGATGATTCCTTAACTCGTCTATAAAACGCCACGGCTTTTATCGCATCCTGGAAAGTAATAATTTTCTTACAAAATTGAAATTTAAATTAAAAGGAAAACATGGCATTACACTAGAGACTTACCTTCTCTAGGCCGCATTTCATCAAGAACAGTGGCGAATCTTTCAGAGGCCATAACAACATAACTGCCAATACTGACATAGTAAGACATACATAAGTCATCGTTTTGAACTCTAAGCATCCACCCAATACATATGAAACGAGTATTCCGAGCCCATATGCAACTACTGATCCAGAAGTCATCATACCCCTTACGGATTCCTGACAGAACTCGCTAATGAATACTGGGACGAGTAACAAGGTACAACCGCCAAATCCTGATATAAACATAGCTGCTAATACAGCTTCCACTCTGGAGCTAATGGATACTATGAGCCATGCCACCTGCAAAATAAAAGTGTGATATTTGATTACATAATGTATATACAAAAATACGTTCAATTTTTTGATGATTTTCTTCCTTTTTGTCATCAGTGTGTAAGTATCTTCTGCTATTGATGAACCTTGCCCATTAAGGAAGCGTCTTACTAGACGTCTTTACACCTTTAACGCTGGTGCTCGTCACCGGTCTGGATACATTAGTCTGGCGTTAATTATAATGCTATTTGTAATAATTAGCATTGTAATCAACGAAACAGTATGGATTTTAATCCGGCGTTATGAACATGGAAAAATACTACACGGTCATAGGGAATGGGTTATTATGACTCCAATTTTCACTTATGATTTTTCAATTATTTAAAACTAAGTAAGTAATATTTTTACGACTTGTCTTTATTGTGTAATAGTTTAATAAATAAAATATGTAGATAATTACAAAAATCCTAATTTTCTTTATTAAAATTAATAAAACTGGCATTTTCTAGAATAATCTCAATTTCCAATGTATTAATTAACGGTTTTCAGTTTTTTGTGACATTATGTGCAAATATTGGCCATATTCTAAGTTAAGATATAAATTCAGTAGTGGATAAAACCCTTGTATTTAATGTATATTATATTTCGAGTAAAAAGTTGCATTTGTGTCAGACCAACATATATAAAATTAACTACAGGAGAAGCAAAAGTAATTCTATAAGTGTTTCGCTTTGCTACATTTGTCATGAACTACACTAAAAAGTCTTTTTGTTATTCAAAAGCCTTCTCTGTTTACTTATAAGCTGACTGGTAGAGAACGCCTTTAGGCGTTAAATTCATCGTTGTACATTTTTGTGCAACGAAGTTTAAATAAGTCTGAACTAAAAGTTCACTGCTGAATATGAGCTCCTCCAGTTGTTTTATCATCATTCTTCAACAATACTCAACGATGAACTCAAGTGCGTAATCATTTGATACGCCCTCATTTCGATATCAGCATCTCAAAACGGTGTACTTAGGAATAATTACTGAGACCTGCACTCGAGTACACACACTTGAGAGTCGATTTTCGTACATTAATCAGTGTGGCAACTCAGCTGATATCGTAAACCTAAACCGCATCTTGAGATATGTTTATTAATAAATAAGATCATAACCTCAAGATTGTACTTAAGTGCGTGTACTTGAGCTGAGTAACGTTTATTAATACGGGCCTAGATGACCGATACTCTTATCTTGCCACTACACAGTAACAAAAGTCTAACAATTTATCAAATGTGTTTCATATACATACCACTTGCGGCAAAGAGAACAAAATGCAGCTATTTCTTCGACCGATTCTATCTAAAAGGAACCCTGAGAAAGGCGTCGTGAATATGGCGCTGATGGAGGAAAAACTTCCGAATAGAGCTATCTCATTCTCACTCATAGGTCGATGCAGAGTTGTGTTAGCGGATGAAAAAATTTTTATTGTCGATGATGGCCACGCGTACATCAACGCCATGGTCAAACAGGAGTAACACACTGAAAGATAACTTTTGTTATAGAATATGAATAAAGAATAATGGTGACGAATAAGCAAATAATCTACCTGATGGTAAATATCAGATACGTTTTCAACCATAAGAACTAAGAAGAAATGTTTTACTGGTAAACAAAGTCATCTCAGAGGACTAAGCGGGATGCTTCGTTTCTAGTAAAAAGGGTAATCCGGTTTTCTGCTCATCATACAAAACACAGCAGCATTAAGCTTATAATATAAGAGTGGATTCGATCCCTAAGCGAGCTGAATCATTCATGCTACAACCAAAATATAGCTGCAGGTACTAGGTACCAGGCTGCCACTCAAGAACCTTTCTTCCCCGTCGGTTGTCGGTTCTTCGAGCTATATGGCCGGCCCACTGCCACTTCAGCTTACTAATCCGTTGGGCTATGTCGGTTACTCTGGTTCTACTGCGGGTATACTCATTTCTAAGTTTATCACGCAGAGAAACCCCGAGCATGGCCCTCTCCATAGCTCGTTGAGCGACCTTGAGCTTCCTCATACGGCCAGCAGTGAAGGACCACGTCTCAGATCCGTAAGTCATGGTTGTACAATTTCGTTTTAAGGTTTTGAGGTATGTCTGACGAGAAGATGTGTCGTAGTTTCCCGAACGCTGCCCAGCCGAGTTGAATCCGTCGATTGACCTCTCGGTCGAAGTTGGACTTACCTAGTCGGACTATTTGTCCCAGGTATACATACTCGTCAACAACTTCGAGCTTAGTGCTCCCAACAACTACCGGCATAGGTGTGACATGGTCATTAAACATGATCTTTGTTTTGTCCATGTTCATCCTAAGACCTATTCATTGGGAGAAACTATTGAGGTCATTAAGCATGGTGCTTAGGTCCTCCAGCGATTCTGCCATAAGGATTATATCGTCGGCAAATCGAAGGTGAGTGATGTACTCGCCATTGATGTTAATAACGTATCCTTTCCAATCCAGAAGCTTGAAAACGTCTTACAATGCAGCGGTGAAGAGTTTCGGGGATATAACGTCACCCTGCCTTACACCCCTCTGCAATTGGATAGGTTTCGTACTCTGGGTCTATACTTGGATAGCCATCGTAGCTCTACTGTACAAACACTTCAGCACCTCGACATATCGACATTCAACTTGGCACCGCTGAAGGGACTGCAGCACCGCCCAAATTTCGACGGAATCAAAGGCTTTCTCATAGTCCACATACGCAAGTCAAAGTGGCAGATTATACTCCTCTGTCTTTTGTACAATTTGCCGAAGGGTATGTGTGTGGTCTATGGTACTAAAACCTTTTCGGAAACTGGATTTTATGTCAAGTCTGCGCGCTAGACGATTCGTAATGACTCTCGAAAACAGCACGTAGACGCGGCTCAGAAGGGAAATCGGTCTGTAGTTCTTCAATAGAGCGTTGTCACCTTTCTTGAAGAATAAGACCACCGCACTTCTGCTCCACGCCTCCGGTTTAATGCCACCATGGAGGATGGAATTAAAGAGCTATTGAAGGATTTCAAGTACCGGTCTTCCACCCGCTTTCAGAAGCTCCGCTGTAATTCCATCCTCGCCTGGGGCTTTGCCGTTTTTAAGGTGTTGAAGAGCCATTATAATCTCGATCACAATGACGTCCGGAATATCATCGAAATAGTGTCGGATAAGACTTTGGATCGTTATATATCGTCCAACGATGATGTGTACAGCTGCCCATAGAATCTCCTAATCTCATTCAAAATTTTAGTTGTCCCGGAAACGATTTTGCCATTCGGTCTTCCGTTTTGATAGTTGGCTCTTTCTGGCAGACAGATATCTGGCAAAGACTTTAGAGCCTTGGATCCGTTTGATCGCTTCTCTAATACACGCAGCATTAAAGATGCGTAAGTCCCGCCGCATGCATTTGGAGATCTGTCTGTTCAGTTGCCTGTATGCTGTCAAATCTGTTGAAGAATGTAGCTTCATTTCCCGTCTAACAGCCATGAGATTAAGAGTGTGATCGGAGAGTTTTTGTGTTCTTCTGCGGCGGGTCTTGCAAAACATAGCTCCGACCGCATGGACAGCTTCCACGAGCTTGTCATTCATATCGTCCACTTCATTGCAGTCTTCTAGGCACTGAAAACGGTTTTCTAACTCGAGCTTAAAGGTTTCGGGACTTTGGAACAGAGCTCGAGGAGGACGGAGCGTTGACTTCATTAGACGAGACCTCTCCAACTTAACGTTTAGGTTCAGTGTGCCTCTAACCATTCGGTGATCGCTGCTGGTTTTCACCCTCGCGATCACTGAGACATCACTGAACAGTTGTCGTCTGGTCGTCATAATGAAGTCAATCTCATTTTTAGTCGAACCGTCGGGGCTCGACCAGGTCCACTTCCTGTGGGGCCGCTTCTGGAAGAAAGAGTTATTTATAAATAGTCCCTCTTTTTTCATAAAGTCGGCCAGCTGCTGGCCCCTTGGGTTCCGTTGCCCTATTCCAAATATCCCTACTTTCAGCTCACCGTTCTCTCTTGTGCCTAGTTTTGCATTGAAGTCTCCGATTAACACCGTATATTGGGTTTTGGAGGAATGCATGGCTCTAGAGATATCCTCATACATTTCCTCCACCTCCTCATCGGGGTGTGCCGAGGTTGGTGCGTAAACCTGTATGACGTTCAGCGAATACCGTTTGGTAATTCTGAGTATAAGGTGCGCAACCCTCGTCGACATACTATCAATCATTACAACGTTGTTAACGAGAGACTTGTGGACGATAAATCCGACACCTCCTTGGGACAGATGGTCGCCCTCCCGGTGATAGAGCAAGTTGCCGGATTCGAGGATTACCGTGTCCTCCCCCTCTCTTCGGACTTCGGATAATCCTATAATATGCCAGCGCAACTTGTCTATCTCTTCTTCCAGCTCCACGATCTTTTCGTCAGTCCTCAGGGTGCGTGCGTTGTACGTTGCCAGGTCGATTCGTATTAGGTGGCAACCGAATCTCCACCGGATATTCTTAGCACCCCCTGCCCCGCCGTTACCATGGTCGCCACCGTAGCCAGGAATAGCGAGGCCGCCGGGGACTGGGGGCCGTTTCTTTGTTACTGTTATCATGGGGGGGGGGGGGGGGTATTGGCCATAGTTATCACGCTCGGCGAGCGGGTTGGCAACCGCAGTTTTTTTATTGTAAGATTGTTATTATCAGGAAGATGCTGCTGCCCATCTCCTGCCTGTTTCCCTTTGTCACCATTTACGACACCCGCGGGAAGATATGGGGTAGTGGATATTCTTAACCGCCACTAGACGGAATAAATAATAATAAATGTATATTTATTATTATTTATTAAAAATAAGTTTATATTGAATATATCGTGTTATTATTTTGGCAACGCTTAGTCTTTCGAGCTGGAACATGTCAACTATCAGCCATCTGGTTAAACAAAAGTATTACTGTTTGCATGAATAAACTAAATTTATTAATGATTTCTTATATTTACGCGAACACAACATATTAAATAAAACTACTTTTCCGGTTTTTTTCGCGTTTAATTAACTTATTTATCTTATTTTTATTAACTCCCGAGTGCTTCACAGTACCCGTGGTCACGGTGGACTGAAGTGATTGAAGGTCCCGATGTCAGATTTAACCCGGAGTACCTTCCGCTTTTTCAGCGGCACCCGAAACGTCGGGGATTAAATAAACACTCACGCCTGTCACCCAGAGGGGTAGGCAAAGACTATGGACTTCCATTAGGTACGATCCTGACACACTTCTCTCGCTTCCTCCACATCCATATACCTACGCATACACGCTCGTCGGTTAAAGGTACTCCTAATCAGGCCCATTTTTATGTATCGCTGATTTGGTCGATAAACCTTCGCCTAGGGCGTCCTTTCCCGACCCTGCCGTTCACTTCTGCAACATAAATTTGCTTTGTCATTCTTTCCTCGTTCATTCTTTCTACATGAACAAACCACCGAAGCATTCCTTTTTTAATCTTTGTCACAACGTTATCTTGCACACCACACTTTTCTCTTATCACGCTAATTCTCACCCGGTTATTCAGGTTCAGCCCTAGCATACTCCTTAAGGAACTCATTTCTACAGCATTTATTATTTTCTCATGTTTCTTCTGCCACACCCAACTATCACTACCATACATTAAAGTAGGGACTAACACAGCACAGTGAATTGCCATACGTGCCTTTTTGGACACATTCTGACTTCTCACAATAGGGTGTATAGCCCCATTAACTTTATTTTCTGCGTTCACTCGTCGTTATATATCCTTATCATATCTACCATCCCTGCTAAATATACATCCCAAATATACAAACTCATCTATTTGCTCGACCCCCTTCTACTTATATTTTCTTTTTTACTTTTTCTTTCAAAAACCATAACTTTCGTCTTACTTGCGTTCACTTTCATTCACTTTTCTTTTAATGTCCTGTTCATTAATGTAACCATCATTTGCAATTCAGTCGCCGACGACGCAAGTATGACTTGATCATCGGCGTACAAAAGGCGTTTGATGGTTAACTCACCCATACTTAACCCATATATTTCTAAACAACTGTCCATAAATAGGTTGAACAGACACGGGGAAGCCACACATCCCTGTCTGACACCTTTATGGATGCCAAACCAGTCCGAGTAGGCCCCTCTGATCCTGACACAAGCACTAGAGCCCCTATAAAGAGACTTCAATGCCTGTATCAACCTAGCGCTCAACCCAAATGAGTTCAGTCTTTGCCATAACTCATCCTTGTCCACTCTGTCATAAGGCTTTTCCAAGTCACACCAAAAAACTTTTTGGTTTTTGGCCAAAAACTACTCCGCGACGCATGGAAAAGACCTGATCCGTACATCCTATTCCCTTTCTAAATCTCGCTTGCACATCCCAAATTTTTCCATCAGTTTCTTTCATAACTCTTTCAATTAGTATCTTAGCATACAGTTTTCCTACAATGCTAAGAAGGCTGATACCACGGTAGTTTTCACAGTCCTGCCGTGATCCTTTTCCTTTATATATTGGGACTATTACGGCTTTGGTATTAAACAAGGTGTACAGCAGGTCTGCTACCACTCCTTCTCCAGCCCTTAGCATTTCGAGAGATACTCTATCACATCCGGCTGCCTTACCTGCTTTCATACTTTTAATTCCTTTCATTATTTCATCTATACTTATGTCTCCTTCTATTTCCTCTTCTTTTGGAATTTCTATTTCATTTATTTCAAACGTCTCATCACTCATAAACACGCTTTCAAAGTATTCCATCCATCTCCTTAAACTCAATATTTTGTCATATAGAATACAGCCATCTTGTCGCGTATAGCATTCATTATAGGCTGTTTTGAATGTCCGCTGGTAGTTCTTACAAGTTTTCAGAACATTTTAATGTGTGTGGAAGTTATCCGATAAAATTATTAAAAATAAGTTAATTAAACGCGAAAGAATCTGTAAAAGTAGTTTTATTAAATTTATTAATCTATTAATTTCGTCTATTAATATAGTCTATCTATGTGATGAACATTATTTCATTTACAAACTTGCCGTCATATTATATATATATATATATATATATATATATATATATATATATATATATATATATATAAACAATATAGTATGCCTATCTAATATCTTCTTCTTAATATATAAAAAATAATTTTTGTTTGCTCGTATTATGCTGCCATACTTTTTCATCAGATTGCGGTAAAACTTTGACAAGTTATTGCTGGCACTTGTGAGAAGGTTATAGCCATATTTCAATTAACTTACAATATGTGGCGCGCGTATCGTTCCGACAAATTATCATAATTTCCAATTAAATAATATAACTCACACAAATTTAAAATGATCAAGTGCTAGGTATTGCCTTGTAGTCTTTCTGCTGTCATACTGCTTTAATTTCGGAACTATGTTTACTCGATTTAGACTTCGATGCGTTTCGCTTGTGGCGTGAGGTAAGCGCTGCCACATCACTCTCTGTTCAAACTGGAGGTCGATAGTGCAGTCCGATTGCTGGTGCATCCTTAATGCCGCTGGATAATGCATGCTGTGTGCGTAAAGGCAAGTGACGCCGGTACGATCGTTATGGCGGTATGTAATGCATGCCGTACTACGCACTTGCAAGTGATACCGGTGAGAACAACGTGCCGGAGCAAGTACCGGAAGTCTGCTTTATAAGTCTGCGGTGATTCGAGATAAAGACAAGTTTGACTGTCTTAACTTGCCTTAAGTTGGACTGGATTGTAGGAGCTGAAGACTGCAGGAGACGATTCTTGGATTCTTGAGGATAATGAAGAAGGCTTAAAGTGGCAGTATCAGAAGCTTATTGGTTGCGTGTTCAGATCACGTCAGGATCACTACTGTGGCCGTGGAAGGAAAACGATAGATCCAACGCCAACCAACGCTTCATGTCATAGTTCGGAGCTATTCCATATATATACTCGCTGCACTTTGGAACTTTGATAGCGTGATTTAGTCTTCGGTGCGTTTCGCTTGTGGCTTAACGAAAGCGCCGCCACATTACTACAAGGTCATACTGCGTAGGTCAGACCAAAAACTTATAATTTAAATCTGGAGGTAGCCTTGCTTAACTATAACATTAGAACGTCAAATTACTCAGACTCCCTGTGACATTGTGTGCTGTAAAGTGCTCAAAACGTAGGCGATATAAAATAAGTTAACATACACGATAAAATGCGTAAAAAACTAGTTTTATTTAAACGAACTACTAAAAGTGAAATAACTTTTTGTGCACTGTTAAATGCTGTTTTTCTGCCGACTTCTAAAAAGGAGACGGTACTCAATTCGACCCGTATGTTTTTTTTTATGTGTGTTACCTCATAACATTTTACTGAGTGAACCGATTTCGATGATTCTTTTTTATATGAAAGCTGATAGATACTTGATAGACGTGGTCCTTCACTGCTGGCCGTATGAGGAAGCTCAAGGTCGCTCAGCGAGCTATGGAGAGGGCTATGCTCGGAGTTTCTCTGCGTGATAAACTTAGGAATGAGGATATCCGCAGTAGAACCAGAATAACCGACATAGCCCAACGAATTAGTAAGCTGAAGTGGCAGTGGGCCGGCCATATAGCTCGGAGAACCGACAACCGATGGGGAAGAAAGGTTCTCGAGTGGCAGCCTCGTACCGGTAGGCGAAGTGTAGGGCGTCCCCCCACGAAATGGAGTGACGACCTGGTAAGACATGCAGGAAGTCGATGGATGCAGGTGGCTCAGGACCGTGCTTTGTGGCATTCTTTGGGGGAGGCCTATGTTCAGCAGTGGACTTGTGAAGGGCTGTAATGATGATGATGATGATGATGATAGATAATTCTCGTGTGGTCTCATATGAATTTGATTAAGGTCATACGAATAGTTTTTGAGTTATTCTTAATAACTTATATTGAAGTCGGCTGCACAAAATTTTAAATTATATTGATCATATTTTTTAAGGGTTTATATAATGTTATCGACAACCGATTTGGACGAAATTATCTTGAGTGGCAGTCTCGTAACCAATAAGTTGTAACTCATGCAGAAAGTCGACGGACGCAGGTTGCTCAGGAACGTATTTTGGGTAGACCTGTGTTTAGTAGTGGACTTTTGTAATAGTGTAATGAGGATGATAAAGATTGTATTCTCTAACCTAAAATTTCATATGTCATGCTTGGTGAAATATTGATACTTGTGATACTTTGTATAGTACAATACAATACTTCTTGTGAATCAATTAACTTATAATTTCATTACGGTACAGTACGGACTGCCAAACTTAAGCTGTGAGTTCCAATCAGCCATTTCATTATTTTCATCAACTACTCCTAACACGAGGATTTTGAACCTAGATTGGTTTCGTTAGAGTAAGAGTTTATATTTAGTTTAAATTATCTAAAAAATATGAAAATAGAAATATTGATACCAACTTGAAAACCAGCGTAAAATAGCAGCTTAACGCTGCTGTGTTTCGTATGGTGAGTGTAGAGAACCGGAGACCCTTTTTACTGGCAAAGAGGCATTCCATCTTAGTCCTCACGGGTGACAACGCATCTGCATCTTGAGTCTTTATTGAGGATAGATGTAGATGTCTATGGGTCACAGTAACCACTTACCATCGGGTGGACTGTGTGTTCGTTTGTCACCCTATCCTATGAAAAAAAATTGATATTAAAATAAATTTGTCAAAAATTTCTAGATGATCTTGATCCTTGGTAGTTTTTAGATTAATAATTAAAAAAGTAATAGCGTTTATTTAATTATAATTTACTTTATTGTAAACATATTCTGGTGAGGAAGCTTAGAACTCACCTATTATGGTACATCCTGCTTGATACATTATAGACATAGCTGGTTTGTACACGCTCCCACTTCTTACTAGAGATCCTAAAATGTTACTGAAGCATACTTTTAAGATATAACTGAAGCTTGCTTCAGATTTATCGCTGAGATATCAACAATTAATGCAAGAGTAAATAACACCTACCGATTAAATGAAAGGCGGCGGATAATGTTTGTTATTGTCAGACCGCATCTGTAGTGTAACAATTTATTTTGATTTATAAAGGAAAATATTATTTTATTACTACATTAATACTAATATTTTATTATTTTTCCTTCTCTGTCATCGTCAGCCTGTATAAGTCCACTGCTTTACATGGGCTTCTCTTCTATTCTAGAGAGGATTTGTTCTTAGTAGGCGTATTGACAATCGCAGTATAAGGCGAAACAAATAGTCTTTTGACAATGTTCTCGTTTTAACGCCAAGCGTTAACGGGATGGACAATATACCGCTGTCCATGGGAAGCTATCTTCTGTTCACTATTTTTAGAATGGCTGTAATCTTATTTAATTTTTTTCTCTTAAAGCTACTACTGTTATTATTATTTCCTTTTTAGAATAACTGTATTCTTGGTCTTAATTATTTTAATTTTTTTTAATCGATCCATTTACGTAAATGGAAGTTAAGAACAAATATATTAGTGCATTTATGTACCTAAGAGATGAAATGTTTGTTTTGTATTGATTTTACTACAAAGTTTCTGTTCAATCGGTAGATAGAATATCTTGTCGAAATGAAGGATTTTTACCAGTTATTCAAGAAATCTCCTTTCATTTACTTCTGTACACGAACTACTTCTTGAGTTAACATTTTCGAATTCAAAGTTATTGTTTATTTAATAATTTTATGTTTACATATGTTATAAAGGGGACAGTGTGTAACAAAAATATTATGTAGCACTACCTTTTCTATTGTGATAAAATTTCTTCAAGCTATGCTAATGTCGTAGTCCAATTGTTAAATTGGGCAGATCGTAATATGCCTGTGCATTTTATGATACGCCGCCATTTCATGATTTGGCTGCTGATTTATTTATCCACCGTTGCACTTTGAGCCTAATTTACATAATATGATTTGAAACAGTGCATTTAAAGAGTTTGTGTTAATTTTTTATTTATTCGATATAGTTCATTTCGTTTATTTTATATATTGTATATGCCGTTTCTATGTTTTGTAAATTACTGTACAGTTGAAAGTGAAATACAGCTTACTCAACATACAAACTTATAGATTTATTGAAATACAGTGGAATTTGAACCAATAGGCGACTACTAGCAATATTATATATATGTCGGAGCGTCTATAAAATACCCAGTTGGAGCGAGGTAGAAGGGAGGGTATATCGAGAAACCCCTTCTTGTCTTCTGTAGTATAAAGTTCACTGTAGGTGCCGTACGCGGGGGATTCCGCTCAAGTCATTCAACGAGTGTGGTCACTCTACTAGTGCTAAGATAGTGTCGTGGTTCTGATCGTTGTTGTAATTCTTCTAGTGCAGACAAGGAGGATTGGTGTTGCTGTCCAGTGTTACATTGAGATAAGTAGTGTTGCTACTGGTTTACATATTTTGGTGTTATCATGTAATTACCTACCTCACGTTACACTGGTGTGTGATTGTGGCGGAGACGTGTTACGGTGTGGTCGAACTGTAATTTCACTATACTGAATGTATAGTGCGTTACGTTGTCTTATAACTGATAATGATTAAACTGCGCAAGCAAGAGAGCAAGTTGAACATCCGCTCTCACACTTTTATTATTTTTAACAATTAACGCTATCCTGATGTATCTCCGAGACCACAAATCGTGATCCTCTGTTGAATAATTATCCGACAACAGAAGTGGGAACTCCTGTTGTCATTTCCGATATCAGAAGTGGGATAAAGTCCCTGTTACTGCCCACCTGTTATAACCTTTGAATAGTGTGAGGGTTATAACGTTGGTGAAATACTATGATGTGGCTCGCGTTTTGTTTTTGTGTTCAATTTCTTAAATCAAGTTTGATGTCGTATTTACTACACTGAAGAATCATTAAAGTGTAGAGTGAAAGTTTACAGTGAAATGTTTTAAGCCAAAAGTTAAATCATTTTGTTCAATTTATAATAGAAAGTACCCGCAAGTACTTTCATTATTTCTCAACGTACCCAAAATGGAGGTATTCTAAATGAGGTATAGTTTGCATTCAGTGGAAGTTTAACTTGTTCAAGTTATGCTGTAATTTGATACACAAGGTGTGATTTACATGGGCTAATTTTAAAGTTTAAAATGTTTAAACGATGTACCGAAAAAAATGTTTAACTTTAACGTGCTATTAACTAAAAACACTAAGTTGTACTTCTGTGTTTTAATGTGTTGATAAGTGTAACAGTTTACTGCGAGTATTACGTAGTCGATAAAATTGGGATTTGATGTTGAGGGTCTAGTGGAGAGCGTGGAGCTGTAGCGGTCGCTCTTGAGTGGAACTATGCTGTCGGCTTATGACGCCACGGACACATTATTTGCCGCTGCTACCGATCACCATTTGATACACGAGTTGGTTGCGAAAAATGCCAGAAAACCAAAGTATAACAGACGAAATTGAAGTAGAGCAAATTAGTTCTGACATTGAAGTTAGTATTTAAGTTTACATGCGGATCGGACCGTACCAGAGATTGTCGTGTAGCTGCAGCTCAGTATATGGTGCCCTGGAAAGATGAATAGTGTCCTGAGAGTACTGCTGCATTTTTTTTAAAAAGTTCCAACTGTATATTTTAATGTTTTCTTTTATGTGTTACAGTAGCACGTGTGATGTGATTACAAGTGCGTGAGTGTGTGCCTTGCTGGTCGTAACGGACAGCCAGGTCCAGCTGTAACATGACCTGGTTTCGGCAGATGCGTATGCGCGTATACGCAGGCGCCATCCCGGAGCGCGCGTATGCTGTACATGGCGATGCCACGGAAGTCGTGTACTCTGTATGCGTGGGAGTCACACTGTGTGCGCGGAAGTGTTATACTCTGTATGCGCGGAAGTCGTGTTCTCTAAACATGCATCAGGCTCTGTTCTGGCAGGCAGTGTCCTGGTTCGCGTTTTTGACGTGATTCACGTGGTTAACGTGGGAACTTGCAAGTTCATGTAAGAGTATGCGTGAGATACTTCGTATACGAGATGTATCCATACTTGTGAAAGCAAAGTGCTTTATTATAGTCACCGGTATGAGAGCGTATTTCAATTTGAGGACTTCGTATGCGTGATGGATGAGAGGATAGGCAACTGTGTATATTGTCCTGACATCAACAACTTGTTTTTCACGCAGATCACGATGACGACAACCCCGACGATGCCTGTGAACCCTCAGGTGAACCTGCTGCTTCCGTTGACGCTTGGAGTGCGTGGTACGGTACAGCATCTCGCTGACGATGGTAAGATGCGACGACTCGTTGGTGCGAGTGCGGCACGCCGTGTGCTGTTCTTTTAGCCACGTGCGCTTGCCACATGGTAGATAAGTATGGCGTGTACTGGTTTGTTTTAATAGCCACCTGCCCTTGCCTTATGCCTGCTGCAACAGCGAGCAGTGAGTGACGTGTTCACGTTTGCTATGTCAGCAATCCCAGCTGTGTGCTGATGAATACTGGTGAGTCGTACCCATTTTATTATGATTATGGTGCCAAATGCTCTCTCATCAAAGATTGTGTTGCACCAATGTTTAATGGCAAAAGTGTGAATAGTATTGTAAATTTAACCGGAAGCGGTCATGTTAGTGTGCAAAGTACCCCACAAATACCCCCATGATCATGTAACCGATCACCAAGTTCCTCGAGAGTTAGATGTCATAGTTGATGACAGTGGTAGTGAGACCAAATTTGATTAGGAATGGCTTGTATACTCATACTCAAAACTTTAGACCGCACCTCATGAGTAACATGTGGCGATGGGTCTGTAGGAAATCGTTGGTGCGATTTCTGTCTGTCTTGGTGCACAGAGCGCTTCATGTGTTGTAGCACATATTGTGTTAGAGTTTCGAGAATCGTTGGTGCGATTCTTGTCTGTGTTGGTGCATATTTGGCGGAAGATATGTAGGGAATCGTTGGCGCGATTCTGGCATATGTGACGGCAGATATGTAAAGAATCGTTGGTGCGATTCTGGCCTGTGTTGGTGCATATTTGGCGGCAGATATGTAGGGAATCGTTGGTGCGATTCTGGCATATGTGGCGGCAGATGTGTTCTAGCATATTTGGCGGTGGATATGTGGAGAATCATAGGTGTAATTCTGGCATATGTAACGGCAGATATGTAGAGAATCGTTGGTGCGATTCTGGCCTGTGTTGGTGCACAGATCCCCTTGTGTATTGTAGCATATATGACGGCAGATATGTGGAGAATCGTTGGTGCGATTCTGGCTATGTGACGGCGGATATGTAAAGAATCGTTGGTGCGATTCTGGCCTGTGTTGGTGCACAGATTTCAATGAAAGTTTCACGAGTTGAATATGCATTGCTTATGAATTGTAAAGAGTAACAAAATTGTTAAAATTACTGTATTGGAACTTATTGATCGGACCTTCCACGATAAATCATGTTGTGCAGGAAGCACTGTGTACGAAGCCTTAATAACAAGGCATTGCCAATTATGACAGTTGACTATTGTACTTAGACTTGGGAGAAGTGAAGTATTATTTTAAATCAACCTTATTTCTATTGGCGGAATAGCCGAGCTAGATTAATCACTGAGCATATTTTATCTCCAGGCACTGCAACCGAGGACGGATGCTAGGCAAGAATGGTCTTGTCGTGAATTGATGGCGCCATAGTGCAACAAGCAGCGTCATCTAACAATTAGTTTTGCGAACTAATAATATGTACCCACTCATGTCAGGATGGACGAGCGGACGAATCGGTGTTTGTTACAGTAATGCATGAAAATACACGCCCGAGGACGGTCGTACGTCAGGACGGCCGTGTCGGAGCGTCTATAAAATACCCAGTTGGAGCGAGGTAGAAGGGAGGGTATATCGAGAAACCCCCTCTTGTCT